GCCTTGGAACTTCTTCCAGGTGTTTGGGCATTTAGCCCCATGTGCCCACTACTCACTGTGAAAGCAGCAAACGTATATATAGGGAGGGAGCAAGGAGAGGTCAAGAGAGAATATCCCAAGAGGGAAATGATAAAGCCCTCACTCTAACACACCAAAGGAAGCAACGTTAGCCACTCTGCTGAGCGCTTTTATGCCCCACAGCCTCTGGAAAGCAGCACCGAGATTATCCCCGTCTTACACAGAAGGAAACCGAAGCTCCAGGTGTGAGGCGGCTTGCTGTGTTACTTAGCTGCTAAGGGGCCGAGTGGGGAATCTAGCCCCCGCCCCGCCCATCCTGAGGACTCTCCTCTGGCCACCGTATGCCTCAGCTAAAGTCAAAGCAAACGGCCTGCCCCAGCACCACCCAAAAGACACGAGCTCTGCCCAGGGCCTTCCTTCCTTGCTCACCATTCAGCCTCAGGCCTACCTCACAGTAAATATGCATCAAAGGAACAAATGAATAAAGCTTTCCAAATCCTGCAGTGAAGTGCCTTTCCTTGTCCAATCAACCAACTTCCAAGACCTTCCAGAAAGAGATGAGCCAGGGAGTCTAAGCTGCACTCAGGAAAGAAGAATTACCAGGCATGGTTCTGGGTTCTTAGCATAGGATGGCACATGCTTCTCCCTTGCTTGTGCCCAGAGGACCGTGGCCATGGCGGGCACACCACCTGCTCTTGCTTTTTTCCTCCTGACTACTTATGCTCTTGCTGCTTCTCTGTGGCAGGTCCTAGCCGGTCTATGACATGGACTTCTGTTCCTGGAGCTGCTTTTTCATGGCTGCAGACAATGCCTAACTTCTAGCCACTTTACTGGGTGAAAACTGATCTCCAACCAGCGGTCACTGAGAGAGGCCACGGGAAGTGCTCCAGATAACTAGATTCTAGCCCTTCCCGTGACTTACTGGGTGACTGGACACATTTCCTCACATCAGGGCCCTCACCTCCTCGTCCCATTTTTATGTTAGCAATTCGAAAGGAAGCATGCAAAGTCATCCCGGAGCAGCCAGAGAGGCCTGGAGGCCTGGGCCCACCCAGTCTGGAGCAACTGGGAGAGGGAGACTGTCCACTAAGGACACACGCTGAAAGGAGAAGTCTTTCCTGAGGAAAGGATTCAGTCAGGAAGGACTTTTGATAACTCAATTCTTAGGAAATTAAGCAGCAGAGAGCAGAGTTCTGTTTGGCCTCCATGTACGGTCTCAGAAGTCAGGAACAAGACTGAAAGGGTCATGATCAATTCTAGAGCCTCTGACACCACCCACGTTGATTAGCCTGGCTTACTGTCTGTATCAAGTGGCTGTGAAGTTTTCAATCATTTAACAAACAGGCATTAAGTAGATACTGTGGATACAACAGTGACCCAGATAGATGATGGACAGAATGGGTACCTCTCAGCCTCTGGCCGATCTAGCAATCACTCAGCCTAAGGACACACCCCCATGTGCACCTGCCACCTTCCAGCCTTCTGGAAGGCGCCCATCCCCTCATCCTTGGTCTGGCTCAGCCTGCTAAGCCCAGGGTGCCGGTTTTGCACCAGACCTCCTGCCAGTGGAGCAGGACAGATGATTAGAGTGACAGCCGCCGGGCCCTCCAGGCAGGGAGAGAACGGCCGTGGCCTGCGCCGAATGATAAACTACATCCCCAGTGCACGGTGGGGCTCATTTGCTGCTAAGGGGTCTTTGCCAATGTTGTCTCATGACACTCCAGGTAGCAGTTCCAGCCTGGCCTGACTTGAGGAGCATGGAAGTTTCTCTGTTGTCAGCCCTGGCTGCCTTTTTGGGGGTGAGGACGTTGTTGGGCACACACAGGTCTGTCCAAGGGTGCTTTCCATGTAGGACTCGACTCAAACTAAAGGAAGGCGAACAGATTGGGAGGAAATGTAACAGGGTGCTCTGTGGAGTAAGGCAGATGTGTGCACATAAACACACCTGTTCCGGGGAGTACAAGGCAGTGAAGAGCTAAGCAAGGTAACTAGAACAAGGTGGAAGATGCTATTATGTCAGTCACAGAAAGCAAAATTGTTGGCAAATCAGCCACCTCTCTGGGCCAAAGCGTTCTGTCAAAGAGAAGGGTTTCACAGGGGCGTGCACGTGAAAGCACCCCCGAGAAGCAGCCGTGGGCTTTAAAGCTGCACCGAGCTCTTTCTCGGCTGGGGTGACTTCACTCCCTGGGGACATTTGGCAACATCTGGAGAAAATTCTGGTTGTCTCCATTGGGAGAGGTGTTACTGGCATTAAATGGGTAGAAGCCAGGGTGCTGCTAAACATCCTACAAGATGTAGGACAGCATCTCCCCCAAAAGAGAATCTGTGGCTCCCAAGTGTCACCACGAGCGTTAAAGGCCAGAAGCCCCGGGCTAGAGGAGCAGGCTGAGATCTCCATTTTACCCAGTGTAGGACCTTGGGAGAGCCGCGTACCTCCTCATCTGAAAAATGGGGACAGTAAGACCTGAGCTGCTCATCACACAACTTTGTGAGACTCAATCCCCAAATGTCCAGGAAAGCTTTTTGTAACACTGTGAAGGGCTCTTTCCTGAGCTTTGCTTAGTTTGAAGCCTGTAGGTGACTAAAGCATCTAGCAGTCACATATAGTAGGCGCTCAATAAATTAAAATCATCATAGTAAAAACAGAAAAGGCCCATTTCCCCTCTCTGTCCTGTGTCCTCCATATCTCAAGGCCATTTTTTTTTTTTTTTTTTTTTTTGCCCATGCATTCTATTAAGTTCTCTAAAGATAGAGGGTAGTGGCGTTAGCAGAGGTTGGGTCGAAAGCCCCCTTGAATGATCAGGGATACAACTAACCATATACCCTGAGGACAGAAGACACAGGAGACTGGGAAGTTTTGCCAAATCAAGGGAAGGCCTCCAGCCCCATGCAGAAGTCCTGTACTTGCTGCTCCTGTGGGGCAAGATCCAGGTGGCAGCCGCCCCAGGGTCTCAGCCCTCAGCTGCCTCTGCTCATCGGAGGTCAGCCCGCCCAAGGAACTGTGCAAGTTGTTGGCACTGAGCCTACAGAAGCCGGACCCACAGCGGGCAACTGGACGGTGGTGGGGGGGGATCGAGGGTGCCATTTCATCCATCTGTGCTCCTCCGGGAGCCCTTCTGACCTTACCAGCCCTGTGGAAGCTGCTGCGTGGGGACCAAGGGCATGATCCACCCTTGAACTTGCCATCCATCCGAGAATGCCAGATGTACCTCTGAGATTTGATGAGAGAGAGAATACTTCACAGTGTGTGTGCAAGTGCTACAACAGAGGGCAGACGTACTAAAAACTGAGAAGTCCAGAGGCAGAACGGACTAGTCTGGAGCCTGGGCAGACGACTGAAGCTTAGTGCTTCAAGATCCTCAGCAATCTTTGGACTACTGTCTTGTCCCAGGCCTGGCAGGGCTGGAGGGGGTCAGGGGCCATCTTGTCCAAACCTCTAAAGGGGATGCGGAGGAAGGCCGGAGCGGAGGTGCCCTGCTTCAGCAACCAGCACTCCTCCCACTACATTGCTTCCCCACGGTCTCCCGCCCCCTCGTTTCTATGAACAAAGTGGGAAAACCCCATCTTGGCACCTGGGGAAACAGGCAGAAAGGCAGGCCTGGCTCCAGGTTACAGGGACTTGGCACTTCCAATCTGGATCCTCCCACATGTTAGGGCTGGGGAGGAACTGGTCCTGCTCTGGGTCAGAAGAGGGTAAGGGGATATAGGAGGCCAGCTTCTCTGGGAGGGAAGGTACAGGAAACCTTTGGGAAGAACACTTAGGAGCTGGTCCCTTCCCTAGGCCTCCTCCCTTGTCCCCAGAGGGAGACTCTCCCCACCAAGGGTGACCTCTTTCCCCGACTGCCATTTGCCCACCTCTGTCTCATAGGGTCAAGGTGATGGCCCCGAGCGGAGGGGACACCCTCCATGGCCTGGTTTTCACCTCCCCTTTCCCTCCCCTCCAGAACAAGCACGTGCCACATTGCCAGCACGTCCCAGGAAGTGTTTAAGCCTCAGAAAAGCTCAAGGAGGTGGGTCAGGGTCCCATCCTGGGAAGCAGGCTCTCCCTTCCTTTCCTCCCCACGCCAGGGCCAGGCTCTCCCCCCACAGCCACACCTTACCATCCCACCTCCTGGGGCCCTCCCCCAACCCCACACCTGGGCCCCTCCTCCAGATGCTGCTGGTGCCCCAGGGTTTTTGCAGAAGAAAAGACACACAGACAAGTTTGGTTCAGAAGTAAGAGGCTGGGGGAGGCCACCTGGTGGTGCTTCCACTGGGTGATGCGGCCCCTAGGCTTCCCTGCAGCTATGATCCCCCAGCCGTAGGCTCGCAGAGCCTGCAGTTTGGCCATTTCTCTGTTGTCCATTCAAGAAATCTCTCCTCAGACCCCTCTGGTCACACAAGTGGGGAGGGAGTGGTGTGTGACTTTAGGCTGCTCTCCCTGGCCTGGTGTTGTGGCAATTAGGCCAGGCCCCTTTGGGGGAGGCGAAGGCCCCTAGATGCAGCCTGACTTTTGGCAGGAGGCAAAGGCTGGTCTTCGGCTGAAATGCAACTAGAGAAGGCACGAAAGTCCTCACTGCTGAAGGGGGCTGAGGGCCGTCTGGGGGGGGGTGGGGAGGGAGGTGGGAAAGGACACATGCCCTTGTCTGCAGGGCTTAACCTCCCATACCAGTTGAACCTCCCACCCTCGGCCAGGCTCTCTCTCTCTGCCCCAGGCTGCAAATCAAGGCACTTTATTAAAGGGAGGGAGCAGCCCCGAGGCAAGGGCACAAAAAGAACCCCCCTATGTGTTTGCAGTGGGCAACAGCCCAGGAGGTCTGGACGACCGGAGTGCAGACTGCTAAGACAGAGGGGAGGGGAGGAGACCTCGGCATGAGGGCCCTCAGGACGGCAGGGTCAGACGCTGCCCCTGGCTGAGGGGAGGCCTGACCCTCATTTCACTCCAGATCTAGTATGAGCCTGCAGGGACCGGGCCAGGAAGGCCGCTGCAGCCAGCGCCCTGGCTGTCCTCGCAGCACCTTCTACCTTGAGTTCAGAGCCTAGGTCAAGACTGGCTCTCTGGCCCAGAGCCCCATCTGTCCTCTTCCCTTATACCCCACCAAACCCCCCGAGGGACCAGAAGCACCAGGAAGCCCAGGGAAGGAGAAGTCAGGGAGCTGGGGCTGCCCTGGAGACCCCATCACATTAGGCCTGAAGACATGGGCTCACCCCATCTGGGGACCTGCAGGGCAAGGCTGGCCCAGTGGAGGGAGGGGGTCCAGCATAAAGGAGAGCAGACATGAGTCGAGCTTCCACTTCATGTAAACAAGAAGGAGTGACCCCTGCCCGGCCAGCGACAGTCTTGTAGGTGCATGTGGTCGTCCTGAGGTGCTGCAGACTCTCACATCTGGGATTGAGGGTCCCTGAGGCCAGGATGGAGGCCGTTGGGCAGGAAGCAAGTGAGGGTCCGAAGTGCAAACTGGTGCAGGGTTTGACCTGTATGCTCCACAGGACAGGGCTGGGGGCATCCACAGGTCCTACCCACCGCTGACCTATGGCTCAGGAAATCATGCAATTGCTGGCCTTGGCAGGACTGGGACTTGTTTTACCTGCAGAGACAAGTGACACAGGCAAGGAAGACGTAAGTGAAGTGCTCAGTGGACTCGCCTCCCACTCCTCTCCTGTGCACTGCCCACACCTCAAATTTGGGGCTGGGGTCACTGTCTCCCTTCCAAGCTGCTGATCTGGAGTCAGTAGGGCCCCCAGGAAAGCAAAAGGAAAGGCTCTCCCTGTCTGGTACTCTCAGAAAGACCGTCACTGTTTGGGATATCAAGGGGTCTGCCACCTCCTGACCTCAGCAGCGTTGCGGTGGTGGTGGGGGGGGGGGGGCGCGCGAAGGATCCAGAACCCCAATCTACAACTATAATCAGTGACTTAATGTCTTGCCAAGAGGTGGTTTACCAGTAGCTAATACTGTATGCAGTCTCCCTCACAGCTTACAAAGCACCACCAGTCACTCTCTCAGCTAATCCCCCTGGGTCGCTGCTGCACCTCGAGGTGTCATTAGCCCTGCCTTACAGCTGAGGGCAGCCGGGCCACCAGTTCCCCGAGCCAGTCAACACCAGCACCAGCACCTGGCCTTCCAAATCCAGCCTCAGCTCCTTCTATCGTGCAGGCACCCCGGGAAGGGGTCACCAGGGTCAGCAGGCTGATGGAGAGCCAGGCAGCACGGCTCGGAGCACACGCTTAGGGGGGTGGTTTCAAGATAGAGGAGGGAGGGAGCACACTTCATTGAGGGGAAAGATGGGGGCAGAGAAAGCTGTTCTTCTCCAGGCCAGAGAAGCATGCTTCTCTTCCCAGGTCCCTTCCATCCACTTCTACTTCCTTTCAACCCCAAAGCGGAGGCCAGTGGCTTCTTTGGCTGGATTTCTGCTCCCAGAGCTGCGGAGGGGAGGAGGGGTGGGGGAGCGGAGAGGCAGACACTATTTCTGGCCCTCCAGGTGTCAGGCTGCTGGGCCTCTGTCCTCCTGGGCACGGGCTGCCTTTCTCCCGGGTGCAGGCTGCTGAGCTCCTTCCTGCTGGCCCCTCTCCACACAAGGATCACCTCCCTGGCGCCCACACCACCTTCCCGTATCACTCCAGCTGTGACTTTAATTCATATGGCGGCTGCCTCCTCTCTTGGGCCCTTAGTAAGGGAGACACTGAAGAGGCTCCAGTAGGAGCCTCTCCCCTCCCCAAGCTCGGCTGGCCACCACCCTGTCTGGGCAGACTGAACCCGCTCCTCGGGACTTGCTGCAAGTCCAGCTGGGCCTCCTTGGAGGCCAAGCTTGAGAGCGTGTAAGGCTTAGAGAAGGTGGGAGGGGGGGCTGGATGACTGTGCCACCCCCTCCCTGAGGGCTCCAAGGGTCAAGGCGCCTGGGTCATCTTCCACGGTGGTGCCAGGCTGCCTCCGACACAGCTCTGCTGCTGCTTACTTCCGCTGTCCCCTCATGGCTGCAATGGACACAGCTGTCCCCACTGCCTCTCCTTGGTGGCATCTTTTGTTTGCTTGGCCTACTGAGCAGATGCGGAGCTCCTGCCCAAGGGGAGCCGCACTTTGGAGGCAGGTAAGCAGATCAATTTCTGTATCCCGAAGCAGGGGAAGGAGTGTAGCTTGGTGGGGGCGGTGGGTGGGAAGGGCGGGCCTGCTTCCTAGGCCTGTGCTCTGCCCTGGCTCCTGCACCACCCCCCTTCCCCGCCCGGGGAGGCTGGGACAGGCTGGGACAGGCGGGGGTGAGAGTCCAGGTTTGCCAGGCTGTGCCTCCCACTCGTTCCATCCGGCCATGAAAGCCTGCAGAGATTCTTTAGACGCAAGATTCATCTCCATGCCTCTGACGGAGAGATGGTTTGAGGACAAACTGTGTGTGCCATCATTCCTTCAGGGCATGCTGACTGAGAGTCTAGCATGTGTAGGTGTTTGGCAGGACTGAGGAGAATCAGACCTGCTCAGGTTAACAGGGAAGAATACACAAATGGCCATTTTGTTTTGTTTTTTTACAAAGTACAAATCTCCCTTTTTACAAAGGGAGATTTGAGGGAAGGCCAAGCTTCAAAGGGAGTGAACGCCAACGTCGGGGTGGGAGCTGGTAGAGGTGCCTGGGGCGTCAGGGCAAGGCTGCTGATCCGAATGCCACACAAGGACCATGGGCTCTACTCCCCTAGGGGTTTTAGGACTTCATATTCCCCTTTTCTGCAAGGTTCTTCCTCTGGATGTCCACACAGCATTCTCCATCCCTGCATTCAAGTCTCTGTGCAAATGTCCCTTTGTCCCTTCATCAGAGAGGCCTTCCCGATCACCCTTTATAAAAGGGTCACTGCCCTCCCTGTCCCTGTTTCCAGCACAGTATTCACTCCGTAAGAGCAGGGGTTTTGCTGGTTTTGTTCGCTCTTGTACCAGGAACTTAGCACAGAGCAAACAGTGCATAGATATATATTTGTTGAGCAAAAGGGATGACCGGGCAGTGACAAGCTACTTAAAGGTTCATACCAATACTAACAACAATAGCAGCATCAGTAGATCTCGGCTGGGCGATGTACATGCCCTCACTCACCTACGTGGTGATGAAAGCCCTGGCGAGGCCCAAGGGAAACCAGAAAGACAGAGGGATCATGACATATGCCAATGAGAATAAGGATGCTGGCTTCTTTTCTAGATCCCAGGTGGGATCTGTTCCTCGAAGGATGCTCACTCGATTCCCCTCACCTTGCTGTGTGGTTGGGACCCTGACTGATAACACTGCTTGGCTTTATCAAGTCAGACCTCCAAATACCAGCTGGGGCATGACCCATGATGCTCAGGAGTGACACTGAATTTTGAAACTCTACTCAAGACAGCTCTTGAGTAGACTTATCTTGGAACTGGAGGCCCACAGGTCCCCGGGAGCTCTGAACCCTAGAAGCACTTCCCCAACCTTCCATCCCAGACAGGGGCCCAGATTTCCAAGAGACACTTGAGACCTCCAGCCCCCAGGGATGACACAGGTGAGCCTGAAGTCCCAAATCCAGGAGCCCAGTGGCCACAGAACTAGGAGCCAGACCACACTGCCAGTTAGGGTGGTCCCACATGCATGAATCAGAGAACCCAGGAGAGTTCTGGAAATGCAACTGTCACTGCAGTCACCTCAGAGAACTCTGGGAAGAAAAGCATGGGCCCAGGCAACCTTGGAAGGTACTCTGAGGTATTAATGGCCACTCTCCACTAATGGGATACCAGGGGGGAGAGTCCATTGGTAAGAAGCCTCTGGCCCTTCCAAATAGTCTTTAATGATATAGGAAAGTGGCACTAACCCTAACCTTCTGGAGATAACCACCATGCTTTGTGCAGGGCCCTGGGAGGCAAGAGACCATGCTGCCCTATCTCCCTGAGTGACCAGGGACACAGAAGCTTGCCTCTCTGCATATCCTATCTGTGAATGTTGTCATCGGGCAGGGTGGTTGTGAGTTCTGTGTGACAGCATTTAGCATGGGTCCACCCAGCACCTGGTCAGGGAATGTCTATGCCTTTCTTCCTTCCCTGGAGGACATCACCTGGAACTTCCCCCCACCCCCCAGCCTGGCAGTCCCGTGAGAAAAGGGCCTATCCAAGTGTTGTCATAATCCGCTGCCCTGGGGACCCCCTACATGGGAAAACACTCAGGACACTTGTTTAAAATGCAGATCCCTGAGCCCAGCCCAGCGATACAGACTCCCCACTGTGTTTTAACAAGGTTCTCCCGTGAATGCTGCTCCCTGAGATTGGGATCTCTGCCCCAGAGGGCCTGTCCCAAGCTCCTGGATGGACACAGGTGGCAGGCTCGGGAAAGGTGCTAAGTGCACCCAGTGCAGAAACAAGGTCTTAGTTGAGAGAAAAACCAGAAGGAAAAGGAGCTCAGCTTCCACCAGTAGAGGGGGCAGTGAGCCTTCAAACCACCAGGTAACACTTTGCCCCCACCCCCAACCTTGACAAGACACCCACCCCCCAATCCCCAGACCTTCGGAAGGGATTTCCGAAGGTTCTCCCAAGGGCCACACTTGGACCTGCAAAAATCTGCATGGTGCTTGACAACTATATACTTCTTACCAAGCAATCTTACAGGCTGCCAGCACTTAGCTTTTCTATTTTTCTCTTCCACCCACCCTATCCATCAGCCCAGGCTCTCCCTGGACAAGAGGGCAGCAGGGAGAGAGAAGACAGAGTCTGAATCGGGAGCTCAGAGGGACCTCTGAAACCCTCCCTGGCTCAGTTCCTCCTCTTCTCGAACAGGAAACAGCCCTGGGGAGGGGAATGGATGGCTCCAGGGTATGGGGAGCAAAGTGCTGGGAGCTGAGATCCCACATGATGTCTGTTCTGATGATGTCCTGAATGTTCACTGTAGGAAAAGGATCCTTTCCCTAGGTGAGGGCTCTAAGGCAGTAAAGTGATTTCCTCCCGGATGACAGTTCCCAGAGTACTGGAATTACTAGTTTGGGGGCCCCATGCAATCAGGAACGCGACCCTCTGCCACACAGAGTCCTGGGTACTTAGCTTCTGAGACGAGGTGCCAGGACAGCCCAGCTGCAGTCCAATGTTTGGGGAGCTGGAGGCCAAGAAAAGGGCCTGTGGGGAGAGAGGGGTCCTGCTTCTTGCCACTGCCCTTTGAGGGAAGCAAGCAGCAGGGAGAGGAACGGGCTCATTAGCAACCTGACTACGAGGCCCCCGGGAACGGGATGCCCAGCCAGGTGAGCCGAGGCTGTGCTGGATGAGGCCACTCTGTGTTTCTTCTAAAGGATGGAGAAGGAATAGGGTGTCCCTGCTGGGCATCCCCGGGGCCTTCCTGATTTTATGTGCCGGCGTGTCGGGCACTCAGGAGAGGAGCTTCCCCAGGGCGCAGCCCCACGCGCTTGGCTGGCTCCTGGGCACCATCCGAAAACACTCAGAGGGCAGTGGCAGTGGCGGTGACCAGCCCAGTCCTCCAAGCAGGGGAACTCGCTGCTGACTTAGGAACGGTGGCAGGAAGGGACAAGACAATGGGTCTTTCGTTTCTATGGAAACAGCACCTCAGGGTGAGGGGCTGAAGGGAGCGAGAGCTTCCATTTCACAGTCAGGACTTGGGAAATGGCCCTTTTTGTGGTTGGGCTCGCTCCTCCCTCGCCCTTCCCTGCCAGGTGTTCACCATGGCAACCCTTCCTCCAAACAAGAGGTGCAAGGTGGCAGAGCAGCTGGTGTTGGGGGCGCCAGGGAGCCCAGCGGGGACAGGAGTGGGGGCCAGCACCCCTCCCTGGCAGGACATGGGCCCCGGCCTGGGTTTGAGTCCTGACCCCACTACCACTTGCTGTGCCCTGGGACCACCGAATGCACCTCTCTGAGCTTCTAGCAGCCACCTCTGTGGTTGTTGTGAGGAAAAAGTGAGAGAGAAAACATCTCGTGAAGGACCAGGCACTTCCCGGCCAAGTGGAGGTACGGCACTGGCACCCCTGCGTCCCACACTCACAGGGACTCCCAGGCCTGTCCTGACGTGGAGAAGCACAGACGGAGCAAGCCAGGTTCTGTGGCCGGCTGGGGGGGGTCACCGGGGGGGAAGATGGCTGTGATCCGGTCAGAGCTGGGGCCGTGGGGGCCACAAGAGACCTGGAAGCACTCAGGCTGCCCAGGCCAAGGCCCCAGCATCACCTCCCTGGCCGGATGGGAGGCTGGTCTCACTACTGCCAAGCGCCACAGCCACGGGAGAAACCCCAGCATGGAGACCCCTCCACTGGGAGGTGCTGCCGCGGGCACAGGCACGGGCAGCGGCCCCGGCTGCCACCACCAGCCTCCAGAAAGTCCTGCTCCGGAGAAAGAGACAAAGGCCCAGACCTCCAGGGTTTCCCCGAGAGCCAGCCAGAAAGACATGACCACCAGGAACAATGTCTCCCGAATGTAAGCAGCATGGCAAACACCACTTCCCAAATAAGCACACGGAAGAGCCAAGTCACACTATTTACAACAAAAATGAGGAAAGTGGGTGAGGGCATTGGTGGGGCACAGGTGAGGGTGGGGCGTGTGTGAGCCGGCTGGATCGTGATGACAGGTGATGTGGCAGGGAACAGGTTTTCTAGAATGAGCCCTACACTCAGAGGCAGAGGTCAAGCCGGGGTCAGGCCTCTCAGCCGCTCTGTGTCTGTTTCTTCACTGACAAAGGAGAAAGTTTCCAAGCCTCCGGTAGTAGTAAGGATAGCTCTCAGACGACTCCACGGCCGGCACTGTTCTGGGCACTTTATATCCTCAGAGCAGCTGAGCAAGGCAGGTACCCTTCTCCCCTTTTATTTCTTTATTTTTAAAGATTTATTTATTAGAGAGAGAAAGAGAGAGTGAGCAAGCAAGCACGAGCAGGACAGGGGCAGAGGGAGAGAGAGAGAGAGAGAGAACCCTAAGCAGGCTCCGTGCCCAGCGCAGAGCCCCACACGGGAGCTCGGTCTCGAGACCCTGAGATCATGACCTGAGCTGAAATGGAAGAGTCAGATGCTTCAGCCAACTGAGCCACCCAGGCGCCCCGTCCCTCCCCCCCTGGAGAGAAGAGGAAGTGAACTTGGACCTGCCCGAGCAGCAGGGGACCTGGGCTGCGTCGGAGCTCAGGGCTCCCGCTCCCTGCGTGCCAGCACGCTGCCTGTCTGCGGGGAGGAGGCAAGGCTCCCGGAGGAGGACGGGGGCGGGGGGGGGCCTGGCGAAGCAGGGTGCCGCGGGCGGAGGGCTCACCTGAGAAGTCGGCACTGGAGCCCTCTTTGGGCCTCTTCCCCGTCACTAGCTGCACTTCGGCAAAGGTCTCGGCGCAGAGGGAGCCGGTCACACCGTTGGGCGCCGTGGGACTCTTGGCCTGTCGACTGAAGAGCCTCTTGCTAAAGCGCCTGCCCTCCTTGGCCGCCGTGGCCTCCCCGTTGGCAGCTTCTCCCTTGCCGTTTCGGACGAGCGCCTCTGGGGGTCTGGGCTTCAGGTCCATGCGCAGGTGAGAGAGCACCCTGCCGTCCTTCCGAGGCAGCTCTCCGGAGGGAACGGACTCCACAGGGGGCAGCACCTGCTCCAGCGTGACGAGGTCATTGAGGAAGCCCTCCAGGCGCCGGGCCGCCGCGCCGCCTCTGCCACCCTCCTCCTGCTCCTCTGGGTCGCCGCCGGCCTCCCGCTGCTGCCGGGCGGCCCAGCGCATCATCTCCCCGGGGGGATGGCGGCTGCCTGACACCAGGGCGTACTTGGGGTTGATCAGCTTGCGAGCCACGGTGGAGGAGTAGTTGGGGCCGAGCCTCCCGGCGCCCCCTGCCAGGTTCAGCTGCTGGTACAAGTTCACCTCCTCGGAGATGGCATACAGCTCCCGGAACTCCACATCAAAGGGCTCCACGTTCTGCCCTGTGAGGAGGAGGAGAAGGTTCCTGTCCACGTAGGAGGAGCTCCAGGTGAACCTGGGAACATGGCGACAGAAAAGCACGACACATGGGCCCAGCCTGTGGCAGGCCCCTGGCCAGCCCATTGCCACAACCCTCCGCCCCACCCCGACCTCATCTACCACGGAGGGCGGATGCCTCGCTGCCTGGTGGAAGGGGCCTCCTGGACCCGCATCCTCCCTCTTTCCCAGGTCTTGGCCTCAAATGCAGAAAGCAGGCAAGGGCATGGGAAGGCAGGCCTGGATTCCCACCTGGTTTCTACCCTTGGATGCCCTGTAAAGTGGGGCTCATGGGGCGTCCAGTCACGAAAGTGTTGTGAGGCTCACGTGTGACACCCCATATAAAACACTTAGCTCAGTACGTGGCACAAACACACACTGAATAAGTATGGATGCAAGCTGCTGCTATTGGTTTTGTTTTTTGTTTTTAAAGATTTTACCTATTTGAGAGAGAGAGCGCACACAAGCAGGGGGAGGGGCAGAGGGAGAGGGAGAAGCAGGCCCCCTGCTCAGCACGGAGCCCGATGTGGGGCTCGATCCCAGGACCCCGAGATCATGACCCGAGCTGAAGGCAGATGCTGACCCGACTGAGCCCCCGAGGCGCCCCTGTTATTGTTAATAATGGCTCTTCTCTGAGTCTTAGAGCACTGGGCGTCTGCAGACCCGCACACTTTAGCCACGTCAGAGGACCCCTGCCACTTACTGATTGCTTCACGGGCCAGGTCTCTTGCCTCACCTAGATTTCAGTTTACTTGGAGGACAGAGACTGCACAGATACAGTCTCTCATGTTCCTGGTAACTGACTTCTGAATCGAATTCAGGACACATTTCCTCCACACCACACCCTTACATTTCTTTTTCTTTTTCTTTTTGCCATATGAAAATTTATTGTTGTCATGTTTTCGCCATCAAGACTTACGATCTTGGTCTTTCCTTCTTGCCTCTGTATTTGGCAAAAAGAGAGACACTGGCTACTTTGACAACCTTAAAGTGAATTCCAGGAACATCACCGACAGTGTGACCTTTGCAGCCAAATCCAGCACCAGAACCTCATCATTTTCCTCAGTAAAATTCAAACAACCATCACTGGGTACAAAGGCTGTGACGTTTTTGCCATTCTTGACCAGCTGGATCCTGACACATTTCCTGATGGCAGAATGCGGCTGCTTGGCTTCAACCCCTGCTTTTCTCAGCGCAATTCCCTTTGCATGGGAAGCGTCTCCAAAAGGGCTGGCGCCCAGGGCTGTGCCCAAAGGGGCTTTCTTGTACGGTTTATCATGCCACTTCTGATCTCGTCGGCTATGCAGCTTCCTGGCAGTACAAAATCTACGACCCTTACCCATCCTGCCGGCGCCACAGGCCCGAGCAAAAGAGACCACACCCTCACATTTCTTTCCCAGATCTGGTTCATTCTGCTTCCTGATGATCCCACCCAACGACTAGCCTCAAAATGCAACCAGCTGCTGTGGACCACGAAAGGCAAGCCATGCTTAATGCCCAGGAAGAGTTGACCCTCCTTCTGGAATAATCCAGTAGCCAGCAATTTTGAGGGCAGGGACTGGCCAGGAGGCTCTTCTTTGGCATTAGATCAGATAATACCCCTTAATCCCATGACTATGGGGGCTCCAGTCCAGAGTCTTCCTGACCATGTACATTTGTTACCACAAATAAAGGCTTCCAGGGTTCTTCTGTGACCTGGCCTGACTCACCTGTAAGATCCAGTGGCTACTTTTTCACCATCTACCATTAGGAACGTTGATGACAGGGTCCCCTTGATCTTCCCCATGGGCATGTAGAAGCCAACACCTGTCACAGAGCGGACACGGATGTTCTGTTGAAAAGAGGAGAAAGGCACTGTCACTCATGAGGCTCTGAGCCAAGTTTTGTGTGCACAGAGGAGGAACCCTCTTATCTGTGGAACCTGCCTGTTGGTTCCTGCCTATACTAGACTCCGCTTCCTACAGCCATAGAGGTGGAACCCCATTTGGAGAGCAAGAGGAAGTTAGCAAATCTTGCTCTGAGCGTAGATGAGCCCAGAGTGATGCCTGGCTGCTCCCAAAGCTCCCCAGAAGAGAACCATAGCCCTAGCTTTGATCCTGACAGTGACTCTGCAGGGTGAGCACCCCAGGACTGGGCCACAGCTGCCACCTTAGCCTCAATAGTCTTGAGATGAAATTTAAGCTGGGCATGTAATTTAGGGTTATTAATTTACAAGCAAGGTTTTAGACAGAAAGAAAGGTGTTGAGCATGCTCCCCTGTGCGCCTGAACTGGGCAGAGGACGGGTCAGAGGCAGCCTCCATCTCATCTCCCGCCCTCCTTCCCCACCCTCCACCCCTACCCCAGTACTACAACTTACCCGAATACGGAAGTCAGTGAGCTCCAGGCCCTGACACATTTCCAAGAAGAGCTTCACGCCTGCCTCATCCAGGATGATATATACTGGGACCCGGCGCTTAAAGGCAGCATCCACAATGTCTTGGAAGATATCGCCATCGGTGAAGAGGTCCATGACCACCGCAATGACCTGGATGGGGAAGGGCACTCATGAAGCACGTGGTGACTCCACATCTAGAGCGATACACTGTGGCCCAGAGAGGCCCAGCTGGGCCTCGGACACTGGAGGCCAAGAGTCAAACACCCCATCTGCACCACTCCTGGGCTTTCCACGTCCACACCCATCTCTGAGCACATCTGAGCCCACAGATGGGCTCTCTGCTCTGAGAAATGCCTGGGGGTCCAGACTGTGCTACTTGTACCTCAGCCTTGACAAATCCCCACTACCCCACCCTGGGCACTCTTCAACAGCTCTTCAGAAGCCATATCAGGGAGACCGAGGAGGCTGAGGGAAGTTGGTCCTAGTGGCCCAGGGAAACAAGTAGGCTCAAGAAGAGGAGATCACTGAGAGCATGGGATGGACTCATTACTACCACCTTCAAATCCGCCCAAACCCCGTTCTCCGCAGGCCCGGGTGCTTCGATCTCCCAAGAGCGGTGCAAACTTCCACACTCCCCTTGGTGCGGTTTCACATAGAGCTCCACTTAGCTCAAACTCCCTTGGCCTCCAAGTGGCCGGGTCGTCCCACGCTACCCTCAAGTTAAGGTCACTGCCTAGGACTCCTGATTTCCAAAAGCCCTTCCTGAAGATCTGTCCTGGAAGCTGAGGCTTTCTGCAGCCTGAGGCAGATCTGCCTTTCTGACCTTAACTTCCTCCATTTTCCTCTGCAAACCTTCCTCTGCTCTAGTGGCAGGGTTTTCTTGCGGGCCCCAAGCATTGTGCATGTGATGCAGAGGAAAGGGCACGCTTTGGGGTCAACAGATCTGGTTATAATAACTTCCTATGCAAGTGACCTTAGGCAAGTCACTTAACCTTGGTGAGCCTCTGCTTCCTTATCTGCAAGGTGGGGATACCCTTTACCCTGTACTTTTATTTTGCCATCGAGATTAGATAACACCTGTAAAGCATCAAATATAGTACCTGGTATGTAGTAAGACCTAAATAAATGGTAATCACTGTACAGTTGAGGGATTCTGTTAGTTGTTGCCACTGAAAGCCTGAACGCTGAAGTCAGACAGACCAGTTCCACCACTGACTCATCAGTGCCCCAGCTAATGAGCACCTACCTCAAAGAGATGTTGTGAGGGAGATGAACCATGAGAGCGCTTAGCACGGTACCTGGCACATGGTAAACTCAACAGTGGTATCCTCCATCCCCGCCACCCTCACACATGAGCTCCACCATCACCCTGCCTCTAAAGACCACCCCCCAATTCACACAGTATTACTTACGACTGTTCTTGGCTCCTACATTTCATACTCAAATCATCCAGACGAGTTAACATTTACTGAGCCCCATAGGCAGAGGGAGGATCTAAAGACAAACTTTAATCCCTAACTTCAAGGGGTTAATCCCATTGGAATGATAAGCCATTTGCACTAAATAAGATGTGAGGCAAAATGAGATAAATGCTTTAAGAGATGTACAAATGACATGTGATGGGAGTTCAAAGTTGGAAGGGGGGTGGGAGGAGGGCCAGAGGGAGGGAGGGAGGCTGAATGATTACTTCTGGCCATAGGAGAACTTCTTAAGAAAGGCTTCATCAGGGAAGCTAAAATCTAAAGAATGGGCAGCCTCGGGGACCAGGATAAACGAACAGGGAGGAAAACCGAGCCGGCAAGTGGGCAGGGCTGCCATGCATGGGTATGCAGGTTGTGCACTGCACATGGGCTCTGGGCTGAGGGGGTGAGTGGAAGCTGTGTCTGCCTGAGGAAGGGACAGCTTTTTCTAATCTGCACAGAGCATCCACATGGGCTAGCAGAAGCCTATGAGGCAGGCATTTCAGGCAAAGAACACATCATAAACATAAACTGAGGACAGGGACTAACATGCACTGCGCACATTCCATGTGCCCCACACTGTTCCAGATGCTTTAGGTAAATTTTCTAATTTGATCCTCACAATAAGGAGGACTGTTCTCATTTTACAGATGAGGAAGTAGATGCAAAGAGGCTAAATGATGTGTCCAAGGTCATGCAGTTAGCATGTAGCGGAGCAGGGATTTGAACTCAAGTCTCTCAGACTCTGTGAGGTATTTTAGAAATATCATATCAAAAGCTGATTCTTTAAAAAGACCAAACAAGATAGACAAACTTCTGACAAGGCTGACAAAAACAGGAAATGCAGATAAAGTGCTGAGTAAAAACAGAAATAACCACACACATATTTACTTTTTAAGAAATCGTATTATTTAAGAAATAGTAAAAATGGCAAAAAGAATATTAGGACTATTTACACACTGATGAATTTGAAAGTGAGCATGACATGGTTAAGTCGTTAAAAGCAAATTAAACATAATCCAGCATAATCCAGTAAGGTTTCTCCTGGAAATAGAAGGATGATTCCACATCAGAAAATCTGTCCTTTTAATTTATAACACTTATGGGGTCAAGGTGGGGAAATCATATATTATCTTAATAGGTTTTTAAAAGTATTTGATAACATGGGGTGCCTGGGTGGGCCAGTGGGTTAAAGCATCTGCCTTCAGCTCAGGTCGTGATCCTAGAGTCCCAGAATGGAGCCCTGCATCGGGCTCCCTGCTCAGCGGCAAGTCTGCTTTTCCCTCTGCCCCTCACCCTCCTCATGCTCTTTCTCTCTCTCAAATAAATAAATAAAATGTTTTAAAAAAGTATCTGAGGGGCGCCTGGGTGGCTCAGTCCTTAAGTGTCTGCCTTCGGCTCACGTGATGATCCCAGGGTCCTGGGATCGAGCCCCACATCGGGCTCCCCGCTCAGCGGGAAGCCTGCTTCTCCCTCTCCCACTCCCCCTGCTTGTGTTCCCTCTCTCGCTGTCTCTCTCTCTATCAAATAGATAAATAAAATCTTTTTTTAAAAAAGTATTTGATAACATGAGATCCCTATTTGTGATTAAAATACTCAAAAAACTAACAATAGAAGGGACCTTCCTTAACCTGATAACGGCTATCTACAAAAACCCCACAGGAAACATACTGAACAGAAAAACATTAGATGCATTCCCTTTAAGTCTCAAGAACGTCAATAATACTTTCACCACTGCTATGGTAAAAAAAAAAAGTATTGGGGGTGCTGACCAATGCAATATGAAAAAGAGAGAGAAGGATTCGAAGAAACAAAACTACCAATATTTGGAGATGATTTTTTTTTTTTTTAAGTAGGCTCCATGCCCAGTGTAGAGCCCAACGTGGGGCTTGAACTCATGACCCTGAGGTCAAGACCTGAGCTGAGATCAAGAGTCAGACGCTTAACAACTGAGCCACCCTTGGAGATGATATTTTTATAGAAAACCCAGCAAAATGCAGAGGGACATTATTAGAATTAACAGGAGAATTTAGCAAGATTGCCAGATACAAGACAAACTAACAAAGGCCAAGAGCATTCTTATACTACAGTAGCAATCAACTAAAAAAGGGGGAAGGGGGAGAAAAAATAAGATCAACATTGCAATTTTAAACACATAGGATTTAAGAATACCTTTATGGAGAAATTTGGAAATCTCTATTCAAGGATATTTTAAAATATGTGAATAAATGAAGAGATAAATTATGTTCATGGATAGTATGATTCAATATTTGAAAAACTGAATTCTCCCCATATTAATAAAATTCAATGTAATTCCAATGAAAGTCAGTAAATTTTTTTGAGGAACTCAAATAATTCTAGGATGCAAGGAAGGATAAAGATCTACAATAGCTAAGTCAATTTTGAAAAAGAAAAGCTGAGGGGCGCCTGGGTGGCTCAGATCGTTAAGCGTCTGCCTTCGGCTCCGGTCGTGATCTCTGTTCTGGGATCGAACCCCGCATGGGGCTCCCTGCTCAGCAGAGAGTCTGCTTCTCCCTCTCCCTCTGCCTTTCCCCCCCTGCTCGTGCTCGCTCTCTCAAATGAATAAATAAAATCTTAAAAAAAAAAAAAAAAGAAAAGAAAGAAAAGCTGAAAGGGGTCACTTTTCCCACCAGATAGTGAGACACACTGCCGAACCATAGTAATAAGCATTGTGGTGCTGAGGCAGGAAGGAACTGAAAAACACACCAATGAAACAGAACAGAGACCAGAAACAACTCTGTGCCATAAACATACAGAACTTTAAGTTTGACAGAGGTGGAATCACAACTCAGTGGAGAAAGGATGTTGCTTAGTAGATGTTATTGGGAAACTGGCTTACTATTGAGAGAAAAAGTGTATTCCTGTCTTACACCGTATATAAAGGTGGATTTCAGGTAGGCTAAATACCTAAATGTTAAAGATAAAACTAATAAAAGAATTGATAAGATAGGTTAAGAGGATTTCTTAAGAGTCTAAAAGCACAAGTCACAAGGCAAATGAAATTTAAAAAATAATGCATTTGGGGCACCTGGGTGGCCCAGTCGGTTAAGCGACTGCCTTCGGCTCAGGTCATGATCCTGGAGTCCCGGGATTGAGCCCCAAGTTGGGCTCCCTGCTCAGTGGGGAGTCTGCTTCTCCCTCTACCCTCACCCACTCATGCTCTCTCTCCCTCTTTCTCTCTCAAATAAATAAAATCCTTAAAAAAAATAATGCATTTGACAAATTAGGGATTTTCTGTTCAAAGGAGGATGCCATAGATAAAGGCAACTGTTGACAAGGGAAGAGATATCTGCAATGTCTACAACCAAAAGGAATGAATAATATACAAGGGATCCCTGCAAATCATCAAGAAAAAGACAGGGAACTAATTAGAAAATGGGCAAAGGATATGAATAGGCGATTCTGAGAGGAGATACCTGAATGGCTAATAAGTATAAAAAGAGAAGCAGACCTCATTAGTAATCAGAAAAATTCAAATTAAAGCAAAGAGATAAGAGAGAGAGAGATACCGCCTTACAACTATAAGATTCACTAAAAGTGAGAAAGCTGGCTAATCCCAAATGCTGGAATCCCAAATGCAGGGTAAACCACATGCACTACTGGTGGGAGGGAACACTGGTGCAGCTACTCCCTTCAGCAGCGGGCAGAGCGTGGTGGATTTAAGAATGT